TTTGGATTTCTGAACAAAACATTTAAATGGAATCTATATTGATATGGAGTGGAAGGAGTCTGTTTGTTTTTTTGTTTTTTCAAAATGGCGATGGGGTGATCATCGTTGGAGGGAAAAATCACCTAAAAGTCATAGGTCAACCCCCCAAAAAAGATGTCCAAAATGGTAAAGAGGATTAATTCAGCTTTCATTTGATGTATGTTTTGATCACCTGTGAGGGTTCAGAGTATGTTCCCCGATTTGTTTAAATTGGGGTATTTATCTTTGGTGCCTATGGGAATTTATGTATTGGTGTGCACCCTTAAACGGAGTGCTGTAAATTCAGGGATCGCATCAACAACTGCTTTTGAATCACACAGTCATGTTTGTGTACCATACTTTCGCACACACAAACTTTTCATCTGGAAGGCTCATGTCACGGAATGTCCCATTAAATTGTTTAGAAATTATGTTGAAAATAACATCTTCATGGATTCCCAGCACAACTCCTCACAATAAGCCCAGTGTTAACAATATTTCTCGTTGTGGGTCTGAAAATGAAAATTGTCGGTTTGTGTATTACGAATATGATCAAGTGAAATTATTTATGCAGTATTTTGCCCATTTCCCTCAAAATTGCATATTGTAATATTGTACATTTTTATCAATTTGCTAGAATATGTGATACCTCACCAACAAGTATCTTTTAACGAAATTCAATCAGAATATTTATCAATTTATTTAATTTTTTTTAGTTGTTGTGTTACTTGTTGGTGACCCTGCCACACTGTACTATGGTGTAGCCGTGCATTATGCACGTGGATTGTTTACTTTCGTTTTGACGGTTTTTTTTTACTGAATAGAGTCTGGTGAGTGTACATAGAAATTTCTTTGAATAAAAGTCGAATCGTTCATTCATGTGCATTTGTTATGCAAAGCAGGGGCAGTGGTTCAAGGATATCTATGTCGACTTGCAGAAAGTGTGCAAGAACGCGACTTGAATGCTTTTATGTGTTCACAATACAACGACGCTGTTTAGTTGTTTCACTGTGTAACACAGTGAGAAATTTTTGAATCATAATGGCGTCAGCGATACTTGCTGGGGAGCTCTTGCGTACGACTTTCTGTACTTTGGTACTGTTGTTTCCAGGACAATTGTGTGTACGGTAACCGACGTACCCAGATTTTTAAAGACGAAATTGCCGACCTCAAACTTGTTAGTGCCATATTTGGCAACTATATGTGCGTTATTAGTTTAATTTAACAAATGAACAGGTTAATTAAACATAGTACCATTGAAGGTACCTAAAAGTAAACATAACAGCATAGAAGACCGACAGACGAACATAAAATGTTACAAAATAAACATATTTGTCTGGATAATTTTTTAGGGCGTTACCGGCAAGTTAACACAAACTTGGTGTCAAATAGATCATGGGAGTTACTTTTCTTTGACTTTTCATACAAGTTTACATAAACTTTAACTGTATGACCTGCAGTAGCGTAGCCACGGGGGGGGGGGGGGCGTGGGGGCGACAGTTGGAAAAGAAACACGCATCGCGATATCGGAACGCTTGCGCGTAGTTCAGGCAAGTCAAAAGATCTTTCTTTGTTTGTTTTTTAAAAATTTTTTTCCCATGGAAAGTGAATTTCGATTTTCAATTATTTAGCTTGACCCACCTACCCACAATTTGGAAAAAAGATCGAAATTTTAAAACATTGAAAATTCTGAATGGCCCCTTACCTTCTTGTGATCCGTGGACAGAACTTTAAAGGTGATGTGTTTAAAATTCCGTAATTTGAAAAGTACAGGAGTGATTTGCATGATTATTGTTCTAAAAGAAAGCCTATGAATTGGGCTTTCGTGTTCTAGATTTTGAAAGTGCTACATGCAGAACTTCACTAAACAAAGGTCCCGACATTTGGGTTTCACTTTTGTTTTACTCACCCTGTACTATGCTATAACTATGACCATGGAAGGTCAAGAAGCTGTGACGATGTAGGGCAAGTAAAAGATAAACGAGTCTATACTTACATATAGTACGTGGGGCAATAAACAGTCAGAGAGAGCAAGGCTACTTCTTGTGTGTGAACTCGCCCAGTGTAATCTTCACTGCAGCCTAGGAATGTGCCTTGGACATCCAATAGTAATTCTATCCTTCCAATCTTCGATGGTAGAACTGTTATTATGATTCAATGAGAAAGTCCCGTTTCAATACGTTTTCTATATCCTTGTAGGTTCATTTGTTTACCCGTGGACTTGGTCACATGGTCACACCCGGACATGATGTCCATGTGTATCCGCGCAACAACATTCAACCTTGGAACTTCGCTGAGGGCGTTTTCGAAGTGACAACACTCGGGTTAACCCGACACGAGAACAGCGGTTTCGAACGTGACGAACAGACCCGAGAGGGCGTTCGCGGATCGATTTTTTCACTCCCCGGTTGAGGAATAGTCTGGTTCCCAGACCTGACAATTATTCCCGACGCTCACGTCTTAAATTGTAGGTCAGGCAGCCTCCGTGGCTAAAAATAAACATGACGACATTAATGGCCTTTTTTCAAAGCGCGGCTTCGTTTCCGATTTCGCTTGATCACTTGTAGCTTTTAATGTTCTGATCAAATCTTTAAATAAATCACTTGCTTCGTAATATCATACAGTAATTATGATAAAGCAGTTTGATGTTTTTGTAAGATAACATTGAGTAATGTTGATCTGGAATCTTCAAAATTAGGGAACCAAAATAGCAATGTTAGCAGGCGGAGCTGAATGAAGACCGAGTTTTGGAAAATCTCGGTAACGGTCGTCAAATTCAAAATTGTACATGACGCAGCAAAAAGTTCGCCCGTACGATCCGAGTATATTTGATGCACAAAATCGTCGTTGAATTTCAAGTTTTCTAAATGAAAACAATGAATATTAATTATCAACTCATTGAAAATAAAATTAATAAGCAATTAGAAGTTAATTAAACCTATATTATATACTCGGAAATACTCGGGCGCTATCCGATTGTCGACGAAACGACTTCGGCAAACTTCGGAAATTTTCGGAAAAAGGAGGAATTCCTCCCGTTTTAGTCACGTGACGTAAATTGTAATACATTGTATTACCGGAGGCTACCGGACCTAAGATTCATCAGGAATAGTCGGAATCGTTTGGTCTGGGAACCAGACTAGTTGATGGAGGGTTCGGCGAGGTGCAGCTTGAACAAAATGGCGGACTGTGCAAATTCGTAAGTTGTTTTGTGGGTTTTTTGTCGCTAATACCCTAATGATTGGAATAAGAATACCATTATAGTGCAGGACTGCAATTTCATCCCCGCATATCTGAGTCGTCCTCGTTCATTTGGAAAAGGCCTAAGTACAAATTCAGACGATTTTCGGCCATTTTGCATTGCTTTATATCGATGCGACACGCACCCGCGCGTTTGTAACAACCAGCTCGAAAACACATTCTCGTGTTACACGCGTGTTGTCAAGAACAGGGATTCGAAAACGCCCTATATATTATATGGTGTTCCATATGTGCCAACGGCGTCGCATTTTTTGAGGGGGGGGGGGCGGCGCTTTTTTTTTTTGCGGGGCCTTTTTTTTTAGCGTCGCAATTTTTTTTTGGCGACGCAATTTTTTGTGGCGGCGCATTTTTTTTTCTTTTTGCGGCGCAATTTTTTTGGGCGAGGCATTTTTTTGGGCGTCACGTGCGTGTCCACGTGCCTGTCACATGATGCCCATGTGATGTCTGGGAATACCAAGGTATACGGCGTGCCCCGGTACTACTGACACTGTCAGCCACAGCGGTGGGACCGTACGCAAGTGCCCTAGATCCTGCAGATACTTAGGTTTGTTTGTGATCCGACTTAAATATAATGATTAGGAAAAACGATATATTCAGTCTGTTGGGGAAAAGTGCTGTGGAATAAGTGTTTAATAGTGTTTATGTGCTGAAATATACTCCCTCCCGGATCTGTAATTGTTATGTAGGGACTAGCGCGATCGGTAGAAAAAGTCACTATCCAAAACAGTGAAACTCTAATAAAACCACTCCAATGGAGTGAAAATAACTTAAAAAAAAAAAAAACCAAAAAAATCCCAAAGAGTGACATTTCCACTCTCTTTTGAGGAGCCATATTATAAGGGACAACTAATTTTAGATTTGTTTCTTATAATGGCTCCTCGAAAAAGTGAAATTTTTTATCCTTTTGATTTTCACTCTTTTTGGAGTGGGTTTCGCCCTTTCGGAGTGGTTTTGGGATTCACTCTTTTGGAGAGTGACTTTTTCACTCTTTTACTTAAGAAGAGTAGGTTTCAGCAGCATATTTTTTACAAGATTTGGTAACTTCGTGTAAGATTTTGTAACTTGCTGTGAAATTAGTGACACTCGAAAAGTAGACTAGTGATACCGTTTTTATGTTTCAGTGGCACATGGAGAATCGAGCCACTCATTTTCATTTCCCATATTTTTGGGAATATACTTTGGATAAAATAATCAAGAAACTAAATTTGCTCCTGGAGTGATATTTACCGAGGGATTTGGTGTGAGAATGTCAGTCAGTGTCTACCTACAGTCCCCAAACACCGTGCTCATGAACGTCCAAACCACCAACCCCGCTGAAAGGAAATTTGGACTTGACTACGGAAACAAAATACAGCCACTTCAAAAGAGAAATCCTTGGTTTGCCAAGAACTGTGTTGTTTCTCCGTTACTTCCCTATTAAGTACAAATGTATATATCTTATTGTTAAGTGTGACCCAATCAAAATTAATCACTGAAGTCATACTTCTCACAGTTTTATTTCCATACTGATGTCACAATATACAGAAGTCTGTATTTAATCACATGTTGTTTAATCAAGTGTTTAGACAGTTGGTAACACATTTTTCCCACATAACAGAGAGAGAACTTTGGTAGTGTTTATGTTTCTGGACAATCAATACAACACATCTTCAGGTGATAAAAGCTAATTAAATCGAGAGTTCATAGTTTTGTTCAGCTAGTCTGTTAGCAGTGAAATCATTTTTACTGAATCGTTCTTTGGAATTATAGTTTTACACCATTTTTTCCCCGGTAGATTTGTACATTTATGTCGCTCTTTTTGGAGACTTATGATGGGCTGTTGGTCAAGAAAATATTTTTTTCAAGAATTAGTTTTATTCATTTCCTAGTTTGTCGCACAGCCACTGAAATAAGTGGATTCCTTCTGTTACTGTGGAAGGCATTTCTTTATCGTGAGCCATCATTTACACCATTCAGAATGATCTTCCATATCAGTAGACGAACATCCTTTTCTTGGTGGTGGGGTGGTGAACTCTTCTTTGACTGCAATAATGTCTTCAAGTGGAACTGGAATGCGATAATCATGGGTATCTGTGGTAGATAGTGTTGACAAAATACTTGATGAATCGTGTTACGTCCAGGCACCGCCTTAAAGTCAGTTGCATTAATATTTATAAGCACTTAAATAAAACAGAAAACAGAGACAGATATTCCATGTACACTTGAAAAAAGGTTAAGCAAAATGGGATGATAATTCGACCAATGCTGGTCGAATTATCAACTGCCAACACTCTTGGGCAAATTCTTTTCATATTTTACCCAATTCAACCCAATATGAGGTAATTTCATACCAATGCTGGTTAAATTACATTGCCAGAGAGTTTTTTATCCAACCTTTTTACAGTGTACATCTTGCTGCTTTACTTTACAGGGAAAGTACGAAAGCCATACCGTAAAGTACTGGAAGGAAATACATGATGTCTGGTTTTCCGGGTAAAGCGACATTTGGAGATGCTCTAGTCCGGTGCTGATTCCATTCTATTCTTACATCATCCAACTCGCACTGAATCATCTGGTTGAAGCAAAACCTCAGACATTCCCTGCAGTTTGTCGAAAGTTTGTAAATCGGATATTAACTCCAAAACGTATTACATGTTCAACCCCAGCATTATTTAGGGTCGTGCGTATAAGAAAACGCATAATATTCAGTGAGCCATGCTTGTATTGTATTTCTTAATAGCGGCCTTATATAGCACAAATATACCAATAACTCTCACACGTGTAACGGTGAAGTACAATCCAGTGTACCCCCATCCACCAACAAACGAAACGTATCAACCCAATAGTTCTCCATCATAGCAAACAACGTCATCCAGAAGCGTTCGATCCGCTGTTAAAAAACACACATTATAATCACATGTAATGATTTGCATATCATAACCCTGGATTGGACATTTGGGAGACATCAATGTTCCCTAACCCACTATTCCCTTGTCCCTTTTCCACGAATTTCGGTATGTTTACCAATTCGACCACGAGCAACAACTATAACCTAATTGCGACATTAAAAATTGTGCCTCTAAAGGGGGCCGTGACATTAGGGAGACATGAAAATGTCTCCCTAATGACCGATGTCTCCCGTCGTGCCAAGAAATTACCATAACGTGTCTCCTTAGTGGTACCTTTACACGTATATACGTTTAAATGAAGGTGGACAAGATTAAACATATAGGGATTAACGTTTCATTTTTGGGTGAGGTCAGGGGGAAGGGGGGGGGGGCCTTTTTCTTCCTATTTTTTGGTATGGCCTTCAAGAAAGGCGTACGGGCCTCCTGTACCTTTCAAACTCCAGGATATGCCCTTTACATGGTATTTTGTTTTGGGATTTCATAACAAAATGAATCATAAGAAAATTTACAGTAATTGCGTACCTGCTAGAGTTCGAAGAAAACAAACATTAAATTAAAAAGGTTGTCAAAGCAGGCCTACCTGGTTATGTGGGGACGTACTCTTAATAACACAGTAGTCATTGGCATCATTATACTCGGAATGAAATGCGACTTGAATGTCTTCAATCAGGACGTTTTCAGTTCCTCTGTCCATCTGGATGCAGCGTGGGACCCCTGCAAAATTTGGCAGTTTTCTGTATTATAAGTCTTCACACAGAGGAAACTTAAATGCATGACTATCACTTCAAGGTGAATATGGAATTGGATAAACTCTGATTTGATTCGTATTAGGCAAAGTATTAAAAACCATGTTAAGCGTCCGGTTTTTCTGAAGGGAAGAGAAGGGGACTTTTAATCGATTCATTTAGGTGTGGGCCATTCTATTTTAAATTTCCGACAACGGTACATTTTCAACTTTTCAGAGACACAAGAATAATGAGACACATGTTGGACAAGCGAATTGAACATGTTTACAGTGTTTTATGAATTTTAGTAAGCTTATAGTTTATTTTGATATGGATCGGTTGACGATCTGTGCTTATTCCACCTCATTTTCTACTGGTACAAATTAAGATAAAACCAAGGGGGCCCTCAAAAAGACAGTGGGCTGGTATGCTAAAAACGATCCTTTCCTTTTTTTACCTCGCCTTACAGACATCTAATGCTTACCTTCTAGTTCTCGTAGAAAGTCTAAAAAGTACGAAGCTACAACGCGTGGGTCATTGTTAGTGTATGCTACTTTCAGCCACAATAGTCTTCTCGAAAAGCTGCCAGCAAAAGAACAATATGTTTGAAAAAAAAAGGTTCAGTTACTTCTTCTAGTAGGTTACTTTAGTAGCTAAAAAGATAAGAAGCTATAATCATTTCCTTTCAAGATTAAGACGTGAAGAGAACATGTCATCTTTCGGAACAAAACATGCATATTACATGCAAAAATGGGAGAGACCCCCCCACGTCAGGCTGGCCTAGTTGTACATTCCACGCCTTTCAATTGCTGTCCCGTGTTCGAATCTCAAATAGCCGGCGTGTGGATTTGTTTTTCAGTCACTGCCTGATATATCATTTAGGGGTTTTCCTCCCGCCTCTAAAACTGAATATTATTTTCGTTGTCTTCCTTCAGGCTTTCTTTTTTCAGGCATTCGAGCTACAGTGTGATAGGAGATTTGGAGTGCACCTTTGTTTCATTAGCAGAATGAATTAAAATAAAATAAAAACAATTAGTGATTCTATGATACACCTTTATAACGTTTTCTAAACACGTAAAATCAAATCTTTCCTCTCTAATAACTGATCCCCATCGTGACTTTGTGTGTGATTCATGGCTGTATGGCATAATGGTTTATGGCCTATGACTAGCGCCCCTTGAAAAAAAAGATGTTGACTATTTTGAGCACTAGCAACAAAAGGCGGAATAATCTATTTGTATAAGAGCACCAGAATGGTTATTCGCAGGTTCAAGCCCCGCTCTGGACATTTTCTTTGTTCAACTTTTCAATAAATAAACTCTTATTCAATCAATTTGTATCGAAGATAATATAATTTGAGATGGAAGTATTTGTATTTTTTTCTCTTTTTAAAATGTTGTGTACTTTTGTATCCAAAAGCATAATTATTATATCAGCCTTAATATGTCTTGAACGAAGCGCAAAAGCGCAGGTGTAAAGTGGGTCATCCACTCATCAAGGAAGTTTTGCCAGCTTGACAACAAGGATACAAATAGAATTCAAATAAATGTTTATACTGTCTAACGTTATAATCAGTTCAGGTATTGCATCTTACCCATCTATAGCTCCATGCACAGCAAAACCATAAACCTTTAACTTGTCGTGCTGATCAACGTGAATTGCATAATTTGGGCCTTTATTTACATACGATCGTCTCCTCAGCCTATGTCTTCGCCTTAGTTCAACACCAAGAGGGTCTAACATTCGTTGTCCTTCTAGGATGATATGCCTGTAAGCACACACAAAATCACACACAAAATTTGCTTTTGAGTATTACTTCTTAAGTTTCAGTCCATCCTTCATCAAACACGCGTGCAACGGTAAGCATGATTTAGTCAAATAAAAGTTTAAACTTGTAGAGAAATGTTCAGACAAGAACCAACTCACTAGTCAGTACTTGCTTAGTGTATTATTGCTGCAGGCCTACCTCGGAATGTTGATGCTGTAGCGTGACAATAATCTTCTTCCCATGCCTCGACACCCAAGGTTGTGGCCACTTCCTTGTAATTCAGACTATACATTCATATACAGATAACAAATGCACAACTTGTTAATATAGGCAATCTTGTACCAATAACCAAACAATGAAACATTATTTCGACAGTTACTGCAGACCCGTGGGATGTATTCTGTGTAGATGATCTCTCGTAAAAACCAGCACATTATATTGCCGTATATTTTGGAAACATCATTCTTTGGCGAGTATGTAAACACCAGCAATCGTGGACCAAGGACAAAAGGGTTAGGGCACAAACAATATGTTCACAGTTAACCGATAGTCCACGATTGAAATTCGTGTACAAAACCAATGAGTACTGTAGCCAAAAAGTTTCAGAACAAAGGATGGAGTAATAGGAGGTCCACGATTGCCGGAGTTTACAAAGATGGGTGTGTGTGTGTGTGTTGGGGGGGGGGGGGGGGTTGAGGGCATTGCCCCCCATTAAAAATCACGCTCCAGATCTCACATACAGGCCCCCACTCGCAGTGCCCAAAACGCCAAGTGCACACACCGTTGTATAGTTACCTGTAAACGTGGACCCCCAATTTTCCCTCTTTTGTTTGTACTTTATTTTTTTTAGGTAGACCTCCCAAATATTTTGTACACGATCATCAATAATGTAAACCTTCGAAGATTGTGGAATTTTCCTCTATTCGGCGGTTCCACGTCTCTGTCAAATGCATAAAATAAGCTTACAACCTCCACCTACCTCCAAACTGTCCATGAATCTGTTCAATGTAAGGCTGAATAATTTTCGTGAAATTTCAAGATTCGTTTGCACACGTTTTCGTATCAAAATTTCAACATGAAATTTCACGAAAATTAGACATCTGAAAAAGGCAGCACTTTCTGATTAGCCTATAAAGAGGGTGAGTATGCTTCTAAAGCAAAAATAAACTACAAACTAAGCCTAAATGTGAAAATCAAAATTTGACAAAGTTTGACATGTTTTTGTACATGGTGGACGTGTGGCCTATGTTTACGGAGGTAGTCCAGTAAATTGGCCATATTTATGGGCCTAAGTAGACTCTACATACATGTAGAGTCTACATACATGTAGAGTCTACTCAGTGCGGGCCATATAGGGCTATGTAAAAACATGCTAAATAATGTTGAGACCTAGGCATTTATGATCATGCCCTTAAGTGTTAGGTTGACCCAAGCAATTGAAGCATTCGTTGAATCCGTGATCTGAGTCGGAAACAATCAGAGGAAAAAGATTTTTAATCACATTTTCAACTAAAAATGAACAGATATCACCACACTACTGGCCCATGGTATTTCATAATATACATACAAGTAGGCCTACTGATCAGTTGGAACTGAGAAAAAAAGGATATTATCGGAACCATGATGTAGCGTGCACTGTGGATGCAACAACGCATACATTTTCACACTTGAAGGCAATCGTACGTTATTACATGTATTATAATCTACTGCAGCACAGCTGTATGCCTAATAAAAGGTCAGAGTTGAACTTTTTCGTCACGTGGCAGTCATGTGACAAAAATACATAGGTCGCCCAAAAAATTCGACGCCAAAAAAAAACATGCGACGCTACGGAAGCGTAGAAGCCTAGAAGGGCCAAAGGAAATTAAGAAAAGTTAGTTCCTATCTCGCCGCGGCGAATTACTATCTCGCCACGGCAAATTATTATCTCGCCGCGGCGAATTATTATCTCGCCGCGGCGGGTTACTATTTCGCCGTGGCGAAATACCATCTCGCCGCAGCGAGTTACTATCTCGCTCAATGACTTACTATCTCGCCGCGGCGACTTACTATTTTGCATCGGCGAGCGTCAGGCACGACGAAAAGCGATACTCGATAATCGTGGCGAGTCGGAAGGAACTTAGGATGAAGTAATGATAATTAAACTGAAAGTTAACAGTTAACGGGCAATATATTTTTATTCAATGAGAGCGCTGTGACGAACGACGCCATTTCTGCGTATAAACACGGAAGAAAATTCACAGTATCTTACTTCAATCCACAAAAATAAATATTGTGAAACTGTTATTTGTGAAACGTACGTGTATAATCTTGGATACACGTAATATATGGTTGCAGACTGCAGACCAGTAAACTCAGCCTGCAGACGTTTATGGTTTTCGGGACAAAATATAGAATAAAGGTTACAAAATATCATGATTGAAGGAGCTACATATACAATCGAAATAGAAACTAATAAAAACTGGAAAGCATAGAGGAAGTGAAATGTTTGTGTTTTCTTTATGAGCCGAATCGGTAGCAGACTTTATTGACCTACAATTAGCTCTTTCCCCCTCGAAATTTAGGCCTTTCGGCCGTTTGAGGAAGTAATTATGAGGGGAAAATGTCGCGAGTGTGTTGATGATGTCGAAACTGAGTTTGTTTACTAACGCCATAAAAACTAGGACTTTTGTGTGGTGATATATCTGTCCCGTGTATCTCATACAAACAAGCTTCAAAAAATGATTCATATTAAAATAATCAGAAAAAAAAGTTTTCTAGCACTCAACTATAATGAACAAAGTGTGCCATCGTTTTATATCTGAATTCTTATATGAGATTAAAGATTTTTAACCGATTACATTTAAGACAATAAAAATACAGAGTAATGTTCTTGGGTAAGCACCGTAACTATACAATTTGGTATTATTCTCGGGCATGGGCGTCGTCAGGATATGGGGCAAGGGGGAGAGCCCCCCCCCCCCGAAAAGCAGAAAAACAAAAACGACCCCCCCCAAAAAAAAAAGAGGTTCGAAGTCATATTGCTGTTAATTTTATGCACATTCTAACAACATTGGCATCCGCAGGGGTGTCAATGGGGGTGGGGTGGGCAAATGTCCCCCGCCCATCCTTGAAAAAAAGATAAATTGAGAATAATGCTAGAGAAAGAACAAGGATGTTAGGAAATAATGTGCTTTGCCCCCTCTAGTAAAAATCCTGGCGACGGCCATGTTCTCAGCTTTATACTGATTAGTATATCGAAGAAACAAACTTTTCAACTAGATCTCATCTTTTGCAGACAGATCAGGCATCCAGAGGGTTCGGGATCATGTGGTACCGGCACCGCAACATGTGACGGAACACCTCCTTGAAGTGTGGGTGTTTGGCCCCGTAGATGATCGGATTGATAGCGCTGTTGACGATGGCGATCATCCCGGTCCATGGAATGGCTGGGTCGCTGGGTGGTATCATCAGGGCGATGCCGAAGGGAGCCAGGCAAGCAACGAAGGCACAGACCACGTAGAACAGGTTCTTCGTGATTTCCACCTGTCGCTTACCGAAGCTGGCCGATCGATTCCTTTGGAGCTGTGTGCTACTCGGGCGTTGATGCTTGACATCTCACTCATCTCAAAATCTCCACCTGTATTCCTCATCTTCGTCAAATGGCCTTTGATGTGGCGGTAAATCTTGATGTAGCACACCACCAGGACGATCAGAGGAATTGGGAATACAAGGGCTGAGCCCAGGAGGCTTAAGAGATCGCTAGTTTCCAAGGAGTTGTCTTGGTTACAGGTCTTGTATTTCTCCGAATATCCAAACATACCGACGCCGACGAAGGGTAAACTGCAAACCAGAGCTGGGTAAACCCATGTAAAAACCATCATAGCTGCAATCTTCTTAGGTGTGTAGATGAGCGGTAGGTAGACCTCGTCTTGGTGATGAGGGCATACCGATTGATGGCAATGGCTGCCAAGTTTATGATACTTGCCCCAAGACTAAGAAAGTAGAGACCGCCCATGAAGGAACATAATGGAAGAGGCAATTCAGAAGGCCATCCGCCCAAGCTAAACAGAGCCACTGCTGTGAACGGAATAGTACAGCAAGTCAGTAAGTCAGCTACGGCCAAGTTGACGACAAATGCATTGACGCGACTTTGGAGTTTCCTTGACAGAATGACAGCCAGGATGACCATGAAGTTCCCAGCGAAGCCAACGACTGCCACGAGGCTGTAGACGCAGCCGATGATGATCCGCTGTACGGGGTTTTTAAAGCGAAAGTTGCGACCGTCACCTTGTGTCGTGATCTCTATCAATGACGCAGTTGTCACATTTGAAGTGACACTCTTTCCTGCGTCAAATGTCGCAAAATCTCATGACAACGAATCCGTAGACATGGTGTTCATGATTGGCACACTTGCTGTAATATTTGTAACGGCGATTTTGGTCGTCATTATAGACAGACACTGGAGAAAGGTTCAGTTGATGATTGTTTTTCTGGCAAAAACTGGTTTGAGTGGATCCATATAACTCTGCATTCAAAAGAAAGTATTCTATTTACTACTAGTCTTGTCGGTGTTTCTCGTTATTTCCGCTTGATTTTGCCTCAGAGGAATGTCACAATTTAAAAAAAAGTTGACCCTTTTCAAACTTCACTTTTATTGTGCGCATTCAGGTTGACATTTAACTGCCGTGCCTCGTTTCACGGCTCGTAAAGAATAACACTATTTTCATTCTGTGCGTGAACTTCCTTGTAAGGTTCGTTAGTTTTAGACCCCCCCCCCCCGAAATATCGATGTAGTTTTTTTCCGACCGGAATATTTAGGCGTGTTAATTGGGGCGTGAATTATTGTGATTTTCTTTTGATTCGATCAAAATGACATCTTTCAAACTAGTAAGACCACATCGTGCATTTCGCTAAAATTATACGAGTTTGTTTGTCAGTTGTGGAATTAATATAATCCTCTGCAAATGACGTCACAATTTGCGCACTCTGTTGCAGCGTGGCCACTCATCCAATTTGGTAATCCAAAGATAACCGCAGATTTCCAAAGATATCAGCATTTATAGGCCTGTGTATCAAAATAGCAGCACAGACCCTATTTTTATGTGAATGGGGCTCACGTACACAGTGTTTTAATTAACATTTTGCGCATGCGCAATCCATACTTTCGTGTGTTCTCAATACGCAAACAAATCGCAAGGCTCAGCGAAACGTTCCCAAGCCTTGGCCTAAATCCCCAAGATCTTGGGAAAAATCGCAAGGAGTGGCAACGCTGGTCACGGTTGCAACCGCACGGGAAAATACTGCGGGAGGTATGACGGAATGAACCGGAAGCAACTTTTTAGCTTCTGCAGGCTAGTAAAGTTTGTTTTTTACCTTAATACGCATGCGTGGAACATAATCACGTGAGTGCAGTTTAAGTTGTGAAATTGTGTTAAATCAAGTCCTATTCTGATCGATTAGATAAATTTAATTTCACCCTTTTTCATTAATGGCTCCAAAGTATTTTTTTTGGTATAAAGGAAAGTCAAGTCCAAGAACCATTTCGTCAGCAACTGACGCATGCGCATTATGTTTATTGCCTAATCGTTGCGAGTCGGAAGGAATTAAGAGTGAAGTAATGATAAGTGAGCTGAGAGTTCACAGGCAATATATTTGATTCAACGAACGACGCCATTTTCTGGGTATAAACACTGGTAAAAAAGTTCATAGTATCTGACTTCAATCTTAAAATTAAATATTGTGAAACTGTAAATTATGAAACGTACGTGTATAATCTTGGATACACGTAAAATGGTTGCAGACCAGTAAACTCAGCCTGCAGACGTTTATGGTTTTCGGGACAAAATACAGAATAAAGGTTACAAAATATCATGATTGAAAGAGCTAAATATACAATTTATTTAAATCGAAATCGAAACTAATAAAAACTGGAAAGCATGGAGGAAGTTAAATGTTTGTGTTTTCTTTATGAGCCGAATCAGTAGCAGACTTTATTGACCTGCAATTAACTCT